GGGGAGACGGAGTGCGTGGGGCCGAGGCAGGCGGGGCGCCGCGGGGCTGCTCTAGGAGGCCGGGGGGCGGGTGTGAGGAGGTGTCGTCCCGGCCTCACTTCTCGATGGAGCCCTTTTTGATTGAGCACCGGCAGCGTCGCTTTCCGCTTGCGACCATTACCCCAGCTGCGACCGTCACGCCCCCGCGGCCCTCCCTCCTCCGGTGACCCGGGCGCTGCTGCGGGGCGGGGCCGCTCTGACAGTTACCCGTGGGCCTGGCGAGGGCAGCGCCCCGGTGTAGGTAGGAGCAGGCACGGGGCTGGTGGAAATGCTCCGAGGAAGCGTTTCAACAGGAAGGCATGGAGTTCGATAGGGGGCAGCTAAGTTCAGAGAAGTCGAGACCAGCTAACAGCTGTCTGAACCTCCTGTCTTTTTATGGAAGAGGGGAATAGAATTAAGATGTACGGTCTTAGAGGAGAAAGCGTATTATTTGTGTTATTTTATTACCGCCTTTGGTTTTATTTGCAGCCGTAGAAGTTGGTGACTTCTGTAGTATTTCAGGTTTTTTTTTGCTTTCTGTGGCCTTTTAAGTCATAAAAATCAACTTAGGAGTGTGTGATCCAGAGGGATTCGAGCCATGGCGTGTGGTATTGCACACTGGAAATAGATGCACAGCTGAAAGACATTTGGAGTCATAACGTTTGAAAAACATTTCAATGCAAACAAGAAATGTGAGGCTGCCAGTATCTGATCTTTAGAGAAGCAGCGGAAGCTACTGAAGATTTTTGAGGGGGTAGTTATCTGACGGTGGTGGTAGTTCTAGAATGTCTGTCGATAATTCTTTGTGGCTGCTCTATTGTAAAATTTTTTATGGTTTCCCATTATTTCTAATATTTCTGTTTCAGCTACTTTCTACGTTGCCTACTGATGTTCAGCCCGGGCCTGATTTTTATGGACTGCCTTGGAAGCCCGTACTTATCACTGCCTTCTTGGGAATTATTTCATTTGTCGTTTTCTTCTGGAGAACCATCCTTGCTGTGAGTAAAATAGGTTAACTTCTACCTTGACTCATAAATACAAGGACCGTTTTATAACCACTGGCTGTTTTGTTTGTTTTTCACTTCCTAACATGAACACAAATTAGTGCATGTAATCTACACTAACCTTTAAGGTAATTCAGGATTCTTTTTCTGATTTCTTAATTTTAGCAGGCATATCACTGTTAACAAACTTTCTCTCCTTGCACAAGTGATTGTAAAATCACTTTTAAAAGGGTCTTTTGCGTGGCTTCCTGTGAAGACTCCTCTAACCTTACAGGTGTTTTCCTCAAATAAAAAAAAAAAAAGAGAGATGAGAAAAGGTGAATGGAAGGGGAAAATGGAAAATGTTTTCTATTCCCCACTCTTGTTTCTCCCACCTTAAAATCCCTAGCACCTGTTCAGATTTTCACAGGGATGCAGGCTCTACGCCCTAACTGCTGCTTCTCAGCCTCAGCATTTGACTTTGGGAACCTTGGGCCCTACTCTCACTTGCCTGCTTCTTGCTGCTTTCTCCTGCTGCTGATTTGGGTGAAAGGGGGGCATAGGAAGCTTAAACTCTCTCATTAGCAAGGCTGTGTCATTTAAGAGAGTCATTTCTTTCCTTGTAGGAACCCTGAATGCACTTTCCTATAACATTAGTATAAGTGGTACTGTAATAATATTAAGGTCTCATGGATCATTTGTGGGCTGATCTGAGTATTCCGTCACCACTTATAACATTTGAAAGAGAAATTTTGGGTACAAAGACATTTAGTAGCACTTTTTTTTTTTTTTTT